CACCACTCACCTACCTATAAATAAGAGTGGAGCTAGCCATTTTAGGGATACTTTAGCTTAGGATTTTATTTTTTTGGTTCTTTAATTTTTGCACTTTTGTTTATTGCATTTTACCTTCTTAGCAACCAAACAATCCTTGATATTCATGTTTTTCTATTGATTTTGATTGAACTTTTACATTTTCTCAAGTATTTTTTAGTGTTCTTTACGATTTTGGCAATGAAACTTACAAATTTTATTGATTTTTAACTCAAATCTTCAATTTTTCTCACTGGTCTCAAATTTGTTTTTGCATTTTCTCACTTGAGCTAGTTGCAATATTTTAATCAAAACTCAATCATTTTGTACTTTTTTTCTCCAATTTTTTTCACAATTTTTTTAACTCATAAGACTATAACATAATAAAAATTTAATTCAAATTCATTCCCAATCAATATAGTTAATTCTCGCAAGTTAAGGTTGAAATCTTAGAGGTAATGAAGATCAAGTGTGCAATTCAAGTTGGAGCTTGGTTCTTCTCTTTTCGAGGTGATTTGTTTGCTCCTTTAAACCTTTGATCTCTTAGATTTACTTGTTATCTTACTTATTTTCATTTTGTTTTAATTTATTTCATGTTTTTTTATGGTTGTTTGGATTAATTTTTTTTATCATGCTCTATTTTCTACTTATTTGCTCACTATTTGGATTTTTAGTTTGTTGAGCTATTTTTTCCTTATTTTGTGATGAATTTTTTGTTAGATTTTGTAGTAAACTTGTTGATTTAGCTTACCTTAGCTTTACTCAAGTTCATTTTCTCTAGAAAATTTCAGATCTAAATTTTTTTCTATTCAATCAATAATTAATAAGCTAAAATCAGTTTCTGTTTTACACTTTTACTTATTGATTCTTGTAATTCCTTCCAATTTTTGTTCTCCAATTTAGTTTTTCATGTTGTTCCTTCAATTTACTATCAATTTTCAGTTCATATTCATTTGATTTTACATGAATTAAATCTAAATTTGCAGTTTGAAGTTCTAGTTTCCAGATTTCACTATACTTTCGATTTTCATGTTCTAGCTTAGATTTTACAACTTTTTTTATTGCTTGCATTTCAAATCTATTTTTACTTTAAATTATGTTCAGTTCATTACATTTTAATTTACTTTAAATATATTTTGTAGTAAACTTGTTGATTTAGCTTACCTTAGCTTTATTCAAGTTCATTTTCTCTAGAAAATTTCAGATCTAAATTTTTTTCTATTCAATCAATAATTAATAAGCTAAAATCAGTTTATGTTTTACACTTTTACTTATTGATTCTTGTAATTCCTTCCAATTTTTGTTCTTCAATTTAGTTTTTCATGTTGTTCCTTCAATTTACTATCAATTTTCAGTTCATATTCATTTGATTTTACATGAATTAAATCTAAATTTGCAGTTTGAAGTTCTAGTTTTCAGATTTCACTATACTTTTGATTTTCATGTTCTAGCTTAGATTTTACAACTTTTTTTATTGCTTGCATTTCAAATCTATTTTTACTTTAAATTATGTTCAGTTCATTACATTTTAATTTACTTACTATTTTTGCACTTTATTTTACATAGTTTACATTTTGTAATTTTACACCATACTGTACTTGTGTTATATGCTTCGGTTATTTTTTTTAGTTAGTTTAATGCTATATTTTTCTTTATTTGATTGAGCCAAATTTAGAAGGATATGGAGATAATAGGTATTTAACTTAGAAATTTCTTTAGCTAATTCTCATAGGATCGACATCTTAACTATTTGGTCACTATTATTACTTGTATGACCTATGCACTTATAGAGTTTTTCCAAAAAAAAAAAAATTACTTCAGCCCTTTTTAATCATGAAGCTCGTAGCATCTAAAAAAAAAAAAAGCAAGCAAAAAACCACATACCTAAGATTAGGGAACAGTAGTGCCAAAGCTAACAAAAAAATAAAATAAACTAAAAACCCAAGAAACAAAAGGAAAAGAGGTGTCTATCTAGGATTTTTTTTTGAAAGTTTGGCTTCTTTTTTTAGTTGAAGAAGAAGATTGAAGGAAAGAGAACAATATAGTGAGAGCCCAAGGTGTTTCAGTGGTGGAGAACGATGGAGAAAAAAGGGAAACCACGGGTTTTGACTTCAAATCTAGGGAAAATGGAGTTGATTTGTTAAAAATTGAGGTTGAATATGAGGATTAAAAAATGAAGCTTTTGGTGTTTTTGGAAGCTAACTAGTGTCGGTGAGCAATGATAGCCAACAAGGTGTAGCAACCGCGATGGCAAAGTTTCGATCAAAAAATGGGCTAGAGGGAGCTCTGTTTTTTTTTTTTTAAAGAAAAGGGAAATTTTTTTTTAAGAAGGAGAACCAATGAAATAAAAAAAACTTGGTTCTTATATGGTTCTTATTCAAAAAAAAGTCGAGCAAGTTAGTAGAGGTGCTAAATGCACCATTTAGGCAAAAAGGAAAATGAGCACCTTTTGAGCCAACACATAACCTATTAGAGCCTAGACTCAACTCGACCGCTTAGCAAATTTGACCTAGAGATTAGTTTTGGACCTGGAGGTTTTGGCCCGTAGCCTAGTGTCTATTGGATGTTAGACTTTGATTCTAGGCTTTAGCATCAAGATCTATTGAGTATAAATTCTTTTCTTTGACCATTTTATTACATGTCCATTTATTCCAATTTGTCTCGTGCTTACTTTGGTTGAAATAAAAAATTGTATGTTTTAGGAATTAAAAATTGTGAATGATGGGTTAGTATTTATTTAATTGTTGAAATAGAATAATTATCATTATTATTTGAAAAATATAACATAGTATTTCTAAGTAAAAAATTATTTTGAAAACCTTACCTAGATATTGAAGGAAATTCAAGTAATTATTTTACTAAGAAAAAATAAGTTTTTTAATTCCTTTCAATATCTAAGTATTTACTAAGAAAAAATAAGTTTTTAAATTCCTTTCCACCAAGATATTGGGGAGTTAAAAAATATATATTTCTATTATTAAAAATGCCATTTTCACCCTACGTAAAACTTTTTTAAAATATTTATAATTACATGTATTATTTAATTTATATTCACATATGCATTTTATGCATTAGTAATAAATGTAAAATAGCAAAATCCTAATTTCAATATATATATATATAATTTTAAAAAATATGATTTTGGAAACCCTGCTTAGATATTGAAAATAATTCAAATAATGTTTTGATGGATTAATTTTTTCAAATTCCACCTAGATATTGAAAAATTAAAGGAAATTTCCTAAACAAAATAAATAAGTAAATAAAATTTCTTTCATATTTGGTTTTCTTTCCAAGAGGAGATAATGATAAAAAAAATAATAAGATTACATATATACAATATAGGTTAAATTGGTTATTTGTTTATATTTGTATAATTTGTTTGTCTCTTGTTGCATTTTGTCCTAAAAATGTTAACTCATAAATGATGATTTTGAAAATTAGCTTTTATAAATAATGATTAATATTCTTACGTAAAAATAATTGATGAAACCTTGCATAGATATTATAGGGTTTCTCCATAATTACTTTTATGAAGGAATATTATGCCAAAATTTAAGGAATATCATGAATATTATAAATGGAGAAAACTTTCCAAAATTCTATTTAGATATTGAGAAATTAATAATTTTTTTGAAACTAAGGATTCTTATTTTATTCCTAAATAAAATAAAATAAATTTAAATATGTATTAGATGAATTTAATTGGTTGCCAGCATTCTAATTTTCATCATGCATTTGCTTCATATGATATTTGTTTGCATTTCATTATTTTCAAATGAATAAGAATTCATGAATGGTAATTTTAGGAAATGTTTTTTTAATAAAAAACTAATATTATTAAGTAAAAAATAATTCATGTGATCTTACTTAGATATTGGCGAGTTTTTCAATAATTTTTTTTATAAAGGAATATTGTGACCAGATTTCATGGATTATTATAAAAATATCAAGTAAAAAATTATTTTTTGAAATTCTATCTAGATATTGAAAAATTAAAAAATATTTTAATATTAAAAATTTTTATCTTATTCCTAAATAAAAAGGTCTTTTTTTACAAAAAAAAAAGAGGAGATTTTCATGAAAAAATGAAGTTTAAAGGAATTATTTTAAATCTGAGAATTTAAATTATTTTTATCAATATTAAATATAATATGTGATCAATTAGTATCATTTTAAGATGAAAGTTGTAGGATACTAATTTTTTTTCACACGTAATTATTTTCTTGATTCCAACTTTATTTTTGATATATTAAAAACTTGTCTTTTCAATAGATTTAATTAACTTTAAAATTTTATTAAAAGAATAAACTTTTTAAATGATTAATTATATCTAACAAAAATATTAATAAGAACTTTTCCTATTTTAAAACATTTTAAAATTTTTATTTAACGATCACAAAAATCATTATGATACAAATGTTTAAAAAAATGCTTTGAGAGAAAAGTAATTATTTCTAAAATTGATGAAGGTAGGTAATGTATATGTAGTTTTCGGAATATTTTTGTTTTTTTGGTACACATTGACTAATCCTTTTTTTTTTTGTAAATATATTTTCATTAAAAATTTCTAAAGAAATTAACTCAAACATATTTAGTCAGATTGCTACCGATCAGTGTCACAAATCAATTATATTTACAATAGATGAATTTTGTATAAATGAATGATTGCAACTTTAAATAGACAATGTAACGCATGAAATTAAATGGATGTTGGACTTCTCTTTCATAAACTTTTTATTTCATTCTATATTAACCATTTATTGCCACTTTATCGTTTAGTTATTGTTGTTGTATCTTATGAATATGGCGATTTAGCTCTTCGACTCTTTCAATGTCTTAAGACTTTAACTTTATCTTGTACTATTTCTTTTATTTTATTACAAAACTTTGTACAAACATTATTATCTTTTCTGTTTTTTTTTTTTATTAGCAGTTATATATTTAAGCCTTTAATGTTAAAAAAAAAAAAAAGAAAAGAAAATGCACCTCCCAATGCTAGTATATACAAAGAATCATAGTCCCGAAGCTAACTTACAAAAGCTTTCAATTTCAACAGCGTCACGGCAAACGTCACATCTTCAATCTCAATCAATAAAATCCTTCAATACTGTCCACAATTTCAGCATACACAAACTTCATAGCTCAAAGCTTTAACATGGCTCAGCCCCAAATCCTCTTGGTAACATTTCCTTCTCAAGGCCTCATCAACCCTTCTCTTCAATTCGCCAAGAAACTAATAGGCAATGGCTTCCACGTCACTTTCATGACTGCCGTCTCTGCCTTCAACCGCATGAACAAAACCAATTCCCCTCCTAAGGGCTTGTCGTATGCCACTTTCTCCGATGGTTACGACCAAGGGTTTAACTTTGGTACCGACGATGTCAGCCATTATATGGTTGAGATCAAGCGTTGCGGTTCTCAGACCTTGAGAGAGTTCATTGCTCGAAGTATCAATCAAGGCACACGGTTCGCTTGTATTGTTTATTGCACTCTTGTTCCTTGGGCGGCTGCGGTGGCTCGTGAATTTCACATTCCGACCACCTTCCTTTGGAATCAACCTGCTACTGTTTTGAGCATCTATTATCACTACTTCAAAGGCTATGAAGATGTCATTGAAAATGGTATCAACGAGGGATCGTCTGTGATGGAACTTCCGGGTTTGCCATTGCTTACTCGCCATGATTTGCCTTCCTTTCTCATTCCCTCGAATCCTTATGCTTTCACGCTCCTGGAGTTTAAAGAGCATATGGAGATTCCTGACCAAGAAGTGAACCCAAGAGTTTTGGTCAACACTGTTGATGCATTAGAAGCTGATGTTATAGCAGCTATGAACAAGTATCATGTAGTGGGGATTGGACCGTTAATGCCATCTGCTTTTGTGGATGAAAAAAACCCTTATGAAACCTCCTTTGGTGGAGACCTTTTCCAGGTTAAAAAGGAGTATAAAGAAATGGAATGGTTTAACTCTAAGCCTGAAAGCTCAGTCATTTATGTATCGTTTGGAAGCCTTTCTGTCTTGGCGAAACCACAAATGGAAGAAATAGCAAAAGGGTTGCTTGAAAGTGGGCGTCCATTTTTGTGGGTGATAAGGGAGACTAGAGGAGAACAGAAAGAAGAGGATCATGAGGGATTGAGTTGTGAGAAAGAATTGGAAAAGCAAGGGATGACAGTGCCATGGTGTTCACAAGTAGAAGTTCTTTCCCATCCATCTGTTGGATGTTTCCTGACGCATTGCGGATGGAACTCAACGTTTGAAAGCTTGGTTTCAGGGGTTCCAATGGTGACATTTCCTCAATGGACAGATCAACCAACCAATGCAAAGCTTGTCCAGGATGTGTGGAAGACAGGGGTGAGGATGAGAAAGAATGAAGAAGGAATAGTTGAAGGTTGCGAGATAAAGAGATGCTTGGAATTGGTGATAGGGGGTGGGGAGAGAGGAGAAGAAATGAGAAGGAATGCCAAGAAATGGAAACACTTGGCGAGAGAAGCTGCAAAGGAAAATGGATCATCTGATAAGAACCTGAAAGCTTTCATGGAAGAGCTTAACGGTTGCTAAACTTGGTATTGGTAGTGCTCTATGGTTAACAGCTCTTTTCCTTTGTCTTTATCTCTCTGGGGTTAGCATTTGCTTTTTTCCACCTATATTTTCGTTCCGGCAAGATGTACGTCACATTTGTCAATCGGAATTTATATCTATCATTCTTATTTTATGGCATCGGCATGGCAAAATCACAAAGAAGCTTACCCTAATATATCCCACATTTAGGACAGGACTCGCACAAATATGAAGTTCGAGTAAGGATGAGTAATCGATCATATCAATTTGAAAAAATTAATAATTAATTTAATCATTTTTCATTTTTCAAATAATTGAACCGATCAAAAATTTTTAAATAATCAACTATAACCGAATCAACTGAAGTTAATTCGATTCGATCAATTCAATCAAATATTTTTAAAGAACACAGAGAAGAGACAAAGTAAATAAAAATTTAAACAATCCAGCATCATCATTCCAAAACCCCAAAAGGCATCTTTCTAGTTGGTTTCATAATTATTAAGTTATTATATTTAGTCTTTCAATTAATCATATCCCTATGTTTCCAAAATCACAATCACCAAATTTAACTATAAAAAACCTTGGAAATTAGCTTTTTCTGTTAATTATAGACAAATAAAACAGAATCAAGTAAATCCAGGACCATTAGCAATGAAGAACAAGAAAAAAGGATGGATTAAAAGAGTAGTAAAAGAGAGTTCACGGTGGTTGTAGGATGGGTCAAGGTGGCTGGGTCAGTACTCACGGTGGTGTCTTTCAGTGGTGCTACCCATGAGCCAACTGGGATTAGCAGGAAAATCTTGTCCTCGGTCTTTTTGATCTTGTGCAAATCCATCGATGATTGAATCTTGATTTGGGGTCCTTTTTTTTTGGGGGGGGGGGGGGGGGGGGGGCATCTTGAGGGGATTGGTAGCAGATTAACAGCAGAAGAGAAGGAAAGGAACAAGACAAAGACAGGTGTAACTCAAAAGAATACAAGAAGAGGTAAAGCAAATTCCATTTAGGAAGCGTGGATCTTAAGGGATTAGGAGAAGACTTAGGTATTTTTAGATGGGAAGTGGTATGTTCTTTAATTACTAAAATATACAACATCAATCCAGAAAGCTGATGATGCAGGAGAAACAACAGGACAATATAGTGGCTTTTTCAGTTGTTTTCCAGATTTTTTGGAGATTGAATAGTTTAAATTCAAGGGCATTAAACTTTCTCTTCTAAGCAGACTACTGTTATCTTAGTCTTGTTAGGAGCAGGTTATCTCAGGGTCTAGTATTGCTTGTAACTTTGGGACAGAAGAATTGTAATCCTTATAAACAAACTCGTTTATTTTGGAGAGAATGGATATTAGGCTTATTTCATATTTGAATGTGAAGCTCCATTCTCTTACATTAGGATATTCCTCTCAAACAAACCCAAACTGAAGCATAATACACAATGAAGTCCAGTCGCTCTACTCACAAAGACTTAAGGTTGTGGTTAGGTAATGTATTTGAAAAAGGGATTGTAATCTAAGCGAATTGTAAAGACCAAATTTCCAATTACCTTGTTTTGGAACTCAAAGAATGAACTTGGTAAATTCACATGCAACGCTAGCCTGTATTTTGTCAACCCACAATCCACCCTCTCTTAAATTGTCTAAATCCCCCATTCAAACACACCTTGGCCTTAGTTTTACACCTTGAACTTGTTCTTATAATTAGTATTGTTTATTGCTATTTGTAAAATTTTCCATGCATATCACTCTACACATTGGTTAACAATTATTTTTATCATAATTCTGCCATGGTAACCCTTTCTAAGTTTTTTGAAGTTATTCATGGTACAATTCTTCCATGGTTAGAATTTCCAAAATTTTCGGACTTATGATCTTAATTCAATCAAATTTGGAGTTTTTTTCCTTGATGAATTTCTCAAACACACTATACTAGTCAATTAATCTGCCTCTCCTATTGTTCTTATATTGATAAATTTAGTGTTCTGAGATTTCTTTATAAATCTAATGATTTTTACCCTTTTTCCTAACACATTAGAACGAAGTAAAGAACATTGAATTTAACAAAACGAGTGATAAAAAAAAAAAAAAACCCCAAAACTCACTGATTGTGAATCCGTTATATTCAATGATAGAATCACCGGGTCTAGCATTTGCTCTGTTCTCAAAATCCATTGTTTAAGACATGCCCGAACAGCAACCTTGCTTAACCCCAATTCTTAAGCACAAATCCTCGTCACGCTCTGCTCTCATCTTATTCAAGTGCTTCAATGCATTATCCGTCAACGTAATAGCAGGCGCCAGCCCTTCCGCTGTTGGCGCCGCTGGAACGGCAGTTGCTCGAATGGAAAGCGGTTTTCTACGGCTGAGACTGGATCGTGAAAACCGAAAAGAAATGAAATTATGGGGTGAATAAAAATATTGCTTCGAGTTGTTTGAGAAGCGAAGAAGAGATGGGCAGTTCGTTGAAATCGAAGAAATAGCCATTGCTGTGAAGAGAACTCAATTGAGAAAACAAAAAAACAAACAATTTCTTGTCTTCGTTTTTGGTGGGTTTTTTTTAGTTGAAATTACTGCATTTGGTACGCAATTAGGGGGAGATTTTTTTTTTTGAAAAAAAAAATGGTCATAAGTTGATTTGTTAGGCCAATTTGAAAATGGATCAAACGGTGGAAATAGATTTGTTTGTATTACTGATACATGTTTTTTTTTTTTTTTTTAATTTTGAGGTCTGAAATTTTTTGCCGGTTCTCATTTTGTTTGTTGATCTTATTAAGACGTAAATGAATTCTACATAAATAAATTTTATTGTGTTAATTAATAAAATTTAAAATATTATTTATAATAATATTTATTAAATTTAATAAACTAATAAAAATCTAGTGAATAAAATTCGGTTGAAATGTGTGTTCACACGCGAACATTGTTCCTATTTTGCAAACAAAATACAATGTTAACAACAGAAATTTTTATTTGCTCTTGCAGTCATTCTGTTGGTAGCTCAAAGACAATTGACTGCTTCCTTAAAAGCTGTAAAATATACTTACTCACCAACCCAACCATTAGTGCTAATACACATGAGATCACCCTAAAACCTATCCCGAATCCCCAGACCCCAAAGAATAATCACCAAAAAAACTTTTGAAAGAATCAAAGAAACAGGAAAAGGTGAATAGCAACTATATGCAATCATTTGCAAACTTCAGCAAGCACAGCCTCCTCTCGGTTCAACTTCTGAACAAGTTTCTGAGATACCCCGGAAATAACTGCATAAACGAACCAGTTAGCCTCTGGGTGAAAAAAAAAATAAAGAATTCATTCTAACAGCTTAAATGCAACAGATACAGCAGTGTCTAAAGCAAGATAACTTCTCAGAAATCACAAGCAAAGCAATGGAAGATTAAGACATAACGGGAAATGAACCATGATCTGATAGAAACCATTATTTTTTTACTAAGGGGCAAGAGTTTCTGTGTTTTGCCTGGTACATCCCTTCCCCCGTAGGCTGATCTATCTCGGGTCTAGCAAATTAATGATAAATTACTTTCTCACAGCCTCTCATAGAATTCAAACCCAAGCAATAAAGAAAGGAGCACAGTTTCATGATATAAAGTTATATGCCAGATAAGGATCAAGTGAATGACAATCTTCACAGCTAATATATTCTGTTAGCAGTCAACCATGATTGTGGTATTAGATATAAATGATATTCAGGGGTATGCTGCTTACATGTCATGTTCTTGTTCACTGGCTAGTGCAGTTTTTGCAACGCATAAAAATGCTTCATCAACATTGTAATCCTCTTTCGCTGAAGTCTCAAAATAGGGTATGTTTCCTCTGGTGGCACACCAATCCGTAGCATTTTTCTCTGATACCTGTGCATCAGTATTCTTAAATCAATCGCTTATAATTTATATATTATCAACATATTGTGGAAAAGGGTATCATACCACTCGGCTATTTGCACCATCTACGTCAATCTTGTTTCCAATTAATATGAAAGGAAATGTCTCAGGATCAGATGGATCTGCCTGCTTTAGAATACCAAATTATGGGGAGTCAAAACCAAGATTTTTGCCAAAAGAAAAAGCTTAATCACACCGGTAAATGAAGGTTAAGAGATGAGCAAGATGCAAAGAGACAAACAGCAAAAAGAATTATGGAAGTTTGAGGTTCCACAAGGCAAAGTCAGAACATTGAATGGACCTATATTTTTAGTCAATGTAAAGCATGTACTCTGTATGTAGCAAGCGTCTAATAAACTATGTTCTATTTAACTTTCTGTCAATAGGTGTAAACGACATGAAAAGGCTTGGTTTGTGTTTATTTATGTTCATTTATTAAGCTTAACAAAAAAACACAAATAATATTTTAAGGTTCGTAAATTAAATGAACAGATCACAAATATAGCGAAGTCTGTTAATGTTTGATTCTTTTACATCCCTATGTGTCAATGCCTTACAGCAGGATAGGAGAAGAGATTTTTCAGATTGAGACACGTAACCAACATGTTAACACGAAATGAAATGAACAGAATTAAGACGCTAATTAGAAAGGAATCTTTTTGGACCTGTTTTAGAAATTCTTCACGCCAATTGTTTAGTGTTTCAAATGATCTGAGTACATTTACATCATGCACCAGAACACAGCAATCTGCTCCTCTATAAAATGCAGAACCTAGACTCTGGAACCTTTCCTGCCCTGCTGTATCCCATATCTGTCAGAACAGTTTAAGTATCAAACAAGTAAGAAGAAACTTGGTAAGTAGTGATTCAGTGAAAAAAAAAATTAAGAATACCCTTGCTTTTCATCACTTACTTGCAAAGTGACCAATTTGTTATCAATCTGTAATTCTTTGGTAACAAAGTCAGCTCCAATTGTAGCTTTGTAATGTTGATTAAACTGGTTATAAACATATCTGGATCACAAGTTAAGAATCTGTACAGCCTATGTAATTGTAATGGTAGTCTATAAATGCAGCAAACAATCAATCTTTTATCTTCAACTGCCCAACTAAAAATGAAGATTTATTGTCAATCAATCTTAGATAAATTAGCCAATGGGGAAGCAAGAGAAATCAAAGAAATAGCCTGCAAATGATAAAATAAGAGCTTAGATTTTTCGGTTGTCAACTTCCAAAGGAAATACCAATGCAGAAAACAGGAAAAGTTAAGTAACAACAATCTGAGAGAGAAAAGGAAATACCAAAACTATAGATTATTAGTAATAGAACACCAAACAAATTTCAGACACCACTAATTGATCACTTATTAGTAATAGAGGATACTGATTCATCAAAGATGTCTTTCCCACCCTGAAATAAAAGGAAAAATGAAAGTTGAAGAGAATAATCATGAGAGATAAACATTCAGGGCATAACTTGAAGACAAACTAGCTTCCTGTACGAATGAAAATGGAAAATTGAATCGTACCCACTATCGCCTAGGACAATAACCTTAAGCAGAGTTCTTCTTTTCATAGAAACATCCATGATGATGACCCAAAAAACTTCAAATAGAGAAAAAAGAAAAAAGAACTATTCTTCTTTGTTTGCAGGAATCTGTAAGAAAGATGAGAAAAGTTTGGAAAAGGAAGGCCACCAATATAAGGGGAACCTGTTTTCAACAATGTTCTTGATTCTTCTTAATCTTCTCTGATTCTCTTTTTTGTTTTTTTGGTTGTTGGCTCCCTTTTTTTCCTTTTGCTGTGTTGTTGAATGGTACAAGTGTAAGAGCATGTGAACCCTGGCCAACCAAAGCAAATGCTAGGCGCCAGCGAAGCTAAAATTTTCAAAAACATATATATAGAATTATAATCAAACAACTACATTTTCAATGTTATAATAAATAAATGTTTAACTGTTTTTAGTTTTATTGCATGCTGACGTGTCTCGTTGACTTGTCCTAGGAGACTCTTGCAATCGTGCTTCCCTCTTCCTTTTTTTTTTTTTTTTGGTCCACAAATCTTGGTGAAGTCTGATTCTGTAGGTTAAAGATGAGATTTTTCCTTCTATCACCCAATTGTTTCCGATAAAAGAAAATTGTTGTAGCAATTTGATTATTTTAATTTATGCCACTTGCCCACTTGAATGGAAATTTCAAGTCATATTTACGTTTATAGCAAGTAACTAATGTACTCCAGAGATAAGAATTGATTTTTACCTGAAAGATTGTTTATATATAAGATTCGGTATTATAATTACGAGAAATTATGAGAAATAACAAAAATTCTTATCTTCCTACCCAGTTTTGTTCTATAAATATATATATTATAAGTCGTACTACCCAGTTTCATGTAATTATTTCTTGTATGTTGTAACTGTCCTAAACTTGAAACTTATCACAATATTTGTATGAATTGGTAAGTTAACACGTTGATCAAATAGTTGAGTACGTTCTGCCTTTAACCTTGCCATTTCATTCTTAAAATTCAAAGCTTTTTTAATAATTAAAATTTGATATAAAAGTTGTTATCTGCTTTTAAGAAGTTTAAGTTTGGAGGTTCGAAACTTTACCTTTTTTTTTTTTTTATATTTATCATATTTAAAATAAAAATTATGCATATTAAAAAAAAGTTGAATTCAATCATATTTATATCATTTTTAGATTTTTTTTAATAAGATTTTTTATTTCATTTTAAATTTAAAAATTTTGAGTTCAAATCTCAATTATAATTAAAAAAGAAAATTCCATTCTCCTTGTATTGGCGTCTCGAGATGGGTCAAAATGGTATTTAGCACAAACAAAACTGATTGAGAAATTCGAGAGTAATTAGCACATTATTGGAGTATTGGCATTTTCGATTCAAACAACATAACCCTATTTATCAAGAATTGACCGTTTGTAGTCTTGTTAATTTATTCTTCTTAACAATGATTATAAACGAGAGGGATCAATTTACATAAAAAAAAATAAATTTGTTTAATTTTTAATTTTAATAAATTCATAAAATGAGATTTTTTTTTATTCTTTAAATTTATTAAAATTAATGACTAAAAAGTATAAAATTTTTTAATTTTATATTGATGTAAATTGATTCCTTCTCACAAATAAAATATATTTTGGCTATTGCATGATTCGTCTAAAGGTCTGAAAGCATATTATCTACAATAATTATAATACAATTAATTAAATATAATTTAAAATTATGTAGGAATCATCAAAATTTTATATAAAATTCATACTTATAAATAATATATTCTTACATAATTTTTTATTATGATTAAAAAAAATTATAAATGAAATGCTCCTCTTCTAAAGCATTGAATCTATCAGTGAATTTCTAGCTTTTGATTTGACCAAAATTGTTGAAGCATCAATTTAAATTACTAAGAATTTGATAAGAAAATTGAGGAGAGACCCACTTTTTTCCCAAATTTTAAACATTGAATCTAACCTTTTATTTTCGATTTTGCTTTACAGTAATTCTATTCTATCCCATACTTTTTTTTTTTTTTTTTTGTGGGGCTTTATCTATATAAGCAAAATGCCGCGAACTGTTTTTAACTTAAAATTAATTTTTTTATTTAATCAATTCATGTAATTATTTTAAAAAATAATATTCAATAAATTTATGATTTAAATTCTAATATTCACAACTATTGCACTTATCTTCAAACTTCAAGCCACGATCTCTTTGTAAAAATAATAATAATAATAATTTTCTTGCCTTTTCCTGTGACTTCAACTACAAATTTGGTGAACTTCATTTTCAAGTGCCATGCTGACAACTTTAAAACAAAGGGAACCTAAAAACAACTGAATCTCCATGATCCATGATGGCTACATAAAATTGAAGGATTTGCAACATTTGCTTATCTTTAACATGACAATTTTAATTAAAGGATTTCTTGGTTTTTGTTGGGGTGACCTTTGCTTTAGTGATGGCAAATCATTTTCACAGTAGCCAAACCCAACAAATAAGATGACATCTCACTAGATTTGCATTATCATTATAACTTTTTTTTTAACTATCATTATTTTTCAACATGAATTGTTGGTAATTAATAAAATATTAGCCAAATATGTGTTTTGAGTTGGGGTCCAACCTTAATCACATGGCTTAATTCCTTCCTCTAAAGTATCATATGTTGTGTAACAATAATTTGAATTTGATACATAGAATTATTCTCACTCTTTAGATACATTTGGATTGAGATCATATTCCATATCTTTTACAACATATTAAACACATGAGCAAAATTTTTAAACATTTTTGTTTATTAAATTTCTTTTGTTTAATCCACAAGATTTAGTATAATCAAACTTGATTTTATACCTTATTTTGAAAAAAAAAAAAAAAAACAGGTATATTAATCAAACTAGATTTTATACCTTATAAACAAACTAGATTTTATACCTTATTTTGTATATTAATATGCTTCCATCATATGATCATATCTATGACCCCAAGAAAAATAAAAGGGTTTATGATAGATATTTTGACGATTGACCTTTTATTCTAAAAATTGACAGAGGTGAATGAGTAAATCGTTAAAGTTAACTAAAAATAATATTTACATAAAAAATTTAATTCATGATGTTAAAGGAATAAAAAATTTTGAGAATTTTTAAGTGAGAGATACGTGCTCCTCCAGAGCAATTTTTTGACATATTATCAATTGAGTTTTTTAACAATAAAAAGGGATTAATATAATAATACATGTCTCATTTTTTTAATAATTTTTTTTTTTAATTTTGAAGTATATCTAATATAGTGTTTAGTATAAAGTAATCATTCAAAAAATTATGATAATCTATATATGGTGATTAGATCACCATGTTTGATAATCACTTAATGATCTTATATGACAGTGATTTTAAATTATTGAGGGTGATTAGATTATTATTTTGGAAGTTGATATAATTCTCATCTAAAAAGTTGGAAAACTATTATTACTAATGTGAAATGATAAATAAAATTAATAATAATTAATATTATTTATTTAATATGTAAATTAAAAATTTACTTCTTTCTAAAATTAATTGTAATTATAATTCTTATATTTTTCAACTAATATTTATTATAATAAATCCAAAAATATTTTGTATGATATTTTTAATTTTTAAAATTTATTTATAATATAATCTTTTGATTTTAATATATTAGTTTTATTTTCTAATTCAAATAATTTTTACATAATTTATATTATAAAAACTAGTTTACTACCAATAAATATATTTTTAATTTATTAATTTAATTATATTTACTATGAAGTAAATAAAATATTATTAGTATTTTATAGACAAAATTATAATATGTATGATTATTTTGATACTTTCAAACAAAATAATATTTAATTTTTAATAATATCAAATATAAAGATATTTAATTATTAAAAATTAATGATTCAAAAAATAATTTCAGATCATTATTGATAAGATCACTTCAATAATTAAATTATCATTATAATCTTGAAAAAATATCAAACCCTACCTTTCATTCTCTTAATCTCATTAGTAAAATTAACAACTTTGCTATCAATATATTTAATAATTTTTATTTAAAAAATATATTAAAACATTAAAATTATTTAAAATTTTATATACCCGTTTATCCAAAAATCGGGTCTTGAGTAGAGATGGTAGATTACCTCAAATCCATTAGGTTTTCACCCTATCAAACTTTATAAGATCGAATTTTATATTTTCAAAATCGGATTGCGGGTTAAGAATAGTTGAATTTTTAAAAAAATTATTTGATTCCGAGCAGAGATTATTTATGAATAAACCCGTCTGTTCTGAAATATTTACAAAAATACCTTTATTATGCATATAAATTTTTTAGGATTTCACCGACACATTTTCTCATTTCTGCCGTTCTTATATTTGTCACTCTGTCTCCCTCTCTCGATTTCAGTCTCAGGTTTCATCTTCTGCCATGCCCTTCCTTTTCGTTGTCGGCTTGCTGGTAAGGATTAGCCCAAGGTTGCGAAGAAAGGGTGGGTAAATTTCTTAAAATCTTTAATGAATTTCATTGAGAATCTGAGTAGAATATTCTCTCATTTTGAAACCAAAATGCACGGAAAATTCTCCATACGGTTAAACCATAAAATGGGGTTTTCTGCTTTTGTGATAGATTTTGGTATAAAACTATAAACTCTGGTCCTTGTCCTACTTCTTCTTCATGTACAGAGCTGCATTTTGTAATGGGTTAAGCTTTATTCACTAGGAAATATAATAGTTAGATTCATCGGATAATTTGCCTTCAGATCTTCTTTCTAACTTTTTGATTGTTGGCTTGATTTGATATTTTCGTTTTTCAAATATTCAAGTTCAAGATTGGAAATTCTTGTTCTTGTATATAAACAGGTAAAGGAATTTTAATAGCTTATTTGATTTATATTAATATTTAAGCCCAATCCCCACTCTTAACCATGGACTTGGAGTGATATTGTTTCTGGGCTAAAAGAAACATTAGCCCGTTAATATGGGCCTCCAAACTTTATTTGTTGAAAACTAAAAGTTTCATTACTTTAAATTAAATTTCTTTAATTTTTATTATTTTTATCTGATGCAATTATTTTTATATACCTGTAAGTTTATATAATTTGAACATAAAGTTTATTTACTTGAAAAAAATAGTATTTTAAATGTTTAAATAATATACGTGAGAATTTATTTATATATATATATATATATTTTTTTTTGCATGCTTGTTAATAATATCTTGATCTTCAATATTTATAAGATTTGTAAAATTAATTTTTATACTTGTTTTAAGCTTTACATTTTATGTAAAATTATGTTATTGTAAAAGATGGAATGAAATAGTTTTAAATTTTAAGAATAGTATTAAATTTTAAACAATTATTTAAAAAAATTGTTGTAAAAAAATTTTAATAAGAATGTATCAATTTCTATTCATAGGATTTTATAATGAATTTCAAAGGAAAAAAAATTTACATTTTGGTTCCAAAAAAAACCAATAATACCATAAAAGAATTAAATTTTAAATTTAATTTTATATAACTAAACATGATTTTACTTTTATATTAAATAATTATGCTAGAATTAATACTGCATCTTAGTCATTTGCCTTTATTTATAAATTAAAAAAATAAATAACAGAAAAAGTGCAACAAAATCAACATTTAAAAGTAAGCACATAGAATCTTTTTAAATAAATAAATAAAACCAACAAACAACGCTTAAACAATTAAATCACTATTTTTTACTTTCAATTGTCAAAATACTTCAAAAGAGTTGTTATTGTGTTAGACCAGTTTTCTTCCTCCTTTTCAATATCCATGAATTGTCAAAAATATTTTTTAAGATCCATGCATACACTTTAAAATAAACAAAATATTCAAAATTTACTTAAAATTTTCAAAAACAAAAAGGCATTGATTTTAACTTTTTAACACGTGGATGCATATATCATAAAAAATATAATAAAAATTTTGTGCATCTTAAATATTAAAAAATTATAAAAATATAATAAAAGATTTTGTGTATCTCACACGTTAAAAACCATTTCTTTTCAAGCATAAGGATTGAAAAATAAATAAATAAATAAAATTAACATTGAAAATATCATTAAAGAATAAGTTATCTTTTAATGTATGTAATATTTGTTCTTTTTAAATTTAAAAATAACCAAGTAATGAAGAATTATTATGAAATCTTTAAAAATAAAAGTTATATTTTAAAATTATATATTTTAATTATTAAAATTTTATTTTATAATATTACTACTTTTTTTAGATTTTTAGATTTAAATAGATATATTTATATTATTAGAAAACTTATTTTAAAAGATAATATATCATTATATTTTAAATTTTAAATTGAAAAAGATATATATTTAGATTATTTGGAAATGTATTTTTTTAAAAAAATAATATATTTAAATTAGATTTTGTTGTTAGCAATTTAAAAATAATTGAATGGGTCTTTCAATTAAATTTAAAACTTTTAGATAATTAAATTATTTTTAAATATATATTTTTTGATAAATAGCTTAAAATTAGAAAATGTTTTACTTGTCATTACAAAAGGAAACTTTAGATATTTTCTTATGTATCGAAAAGAGAAACTATCTACCTAAACATCCACATAAACAAATTTTATCATATTTCTAAATATATTGTAATATAATATTTTATATGATTTGCTATTTTATAATTCAACTTTTACATTAATTTTTTTCTTCCTTATTCCTTTTCATTCTTATTACCAAATGTACGGATACATAAATTAATTACTAAAAAAATTTTATTATCTTTGAACTTGGGTTTAGTTTAGTTTAGTTTAGCTAGTTTATAGCATTGTTATTATGAAGTGGCTTACAATAAGTTTGAAATTTAAATTTAAATTTTTACAATTTTTTTTAATCTTTATAATGCCACCTCTTTTGTAAAAAAGTTTATTATCTTTTGTGTTTTATATATATTAACTTTTTAGGTGAGATGGTGATCTAAGAAAATGATGAATTAAATTTCTTCAAATTTTTTTCAAATAATGATTTCAAAATAATTGAATAAAGAATTAATTCAATAAACACTTTTGATGAAAATATAATCCAAACAATAACAATTGATGAACAAGGAATCAAATATAAACAACAATAAATGTAAATAGATAGGGATAGAGAAATAAAAAACAAGGATTTATAAAGGTTCGATTATTTTTCACAAGACACCTACGTCCTCTTTTCTTGATTGTCCACACCAAGGCTTCAATCCACTATTCTTGAATTGAAATTATAACCTTATCTTTTTCTTTCTAAGTCTTAAAATAGAAACCTTACACTCTCTACTTTTTAGGCTAAGTAGTAACCTATTAATCTCATAAATTCAAGAAGATGTCTCGCCTCTTAATTACAAAGTCACATAATAAAAATGCAAACATAAAATACCTCTCAAAGGCTAAGTGTTTACCTAATGAAGTACAAAGAAATTTGATGAATGAAGAACACAATATTGCTTGGATACAATAAATACAAAAGATATAGATTTTAAGCTCTAACAACTCTTGATTCTATGAAAAAATAAAAATATAACTTGTTGGCTCTTGCTCTTTTGTTTCATCAATCTTCTTGGTGTGTTGGAATAGCTAATATATAGAGAAATTGAAGAACTAGCTGTTGGGGATACTTGGGAGAAGGAAATAGCCATTGAAAGCATAAGAAACTAGCCGTTGTATTTGTTCTAAGGCATACCCAATCGATCCCTTTCATGAGGGGATCGATTAGTTCACTTTTGCTGCCTATTTCACGCTTGAAAAACAAAACCTGATCAATCTTTTTATTTAGGGGATCGATTGGTTCAAGTTTTAGAACCAATTCATGGCTTGAAAAAGCTTACCTGATCGATTATTTCTTTGAGGGGATCAATTAGTTCAAGGGGGTGATCAATCTCCTAAATAGTTTGATCGATCCTTTCTTCAACCAGGAGCACCAATCTGCATTCTGTAAAAAAAATCAATTGATCCCTTCTCTGAGGGGATCAATCCTGTCCATCTAGGTGAATGTCTCATGTTTTGTACTCTACTCATTAATTTGATCATATTTTAAGTTATACAAATCTAAATCGCAATCATTTAAAAATTTAGAAACTAGACTTAAATGATTTTTTATCATTAAAATTCATCCCCTAAATTAATTGTGTACGAATTATAGTGAATTTTTAAATCTACCCCTTGTGCAGTTTTTAGACAACTGTAAAGTATCTAGTAAAAATTCAGAATCTTTTCTTAGAAAATTTGAATTTTGATTTTGTGTGATCCATTAGAAAGTAAACTAAAAAAGCTTTCCAACCATATAAAATTCAAATATTAAAACTTTGTGAATTAATACAAAAAGATAAAACAAGTTCAATGTTGGAAAACTTTGCTTTTGTAAAACAATTTTCTTAAGTTAATCTATTTCTTAAAATCAATATTATCAAAATTGTATTAAGTCTAAACTAAAAAAGTTCACTTTAAAATCAACAATTGGACTTTCATTTAAGCTTAAATAAATAATGTTTAAAGAAAATTTTGATTTGAGAAATAAGAAAACATGAAGAAATGTTTGTTTAAACTTTGAAAATCATATTATTTATTTAGTACAAAATATATAACTTAAGAACATGTACCAAATAAATCTTTTTTAAAATCTTGATCAAGCTTATTCAGCTTAATATTTTGTTATTTAAAAAAAAAAGATCAATTCAAGGTTAACAATGTAAGAAAAATATGTTTAAGTGTTTGACAATTCAAGTGCCCGACTATATAAGGAAATAGATATTCATAAATTTATTATTTATTACTTTAATATCATTTTAGGAATTGTCAAATTGTGTAATACCAAAAGCATTGATTTATTTTTGTCTTAACCTTTCTTTCTACTTAAGGGAAACAACAAAGAGATGGCAATACAGCATAGCAAATTAGCATATAGTCTCTCAACAATAATAATAAATATCTATACTCTATACATTAAAAATATCCCTAAAAGTTTAAAGAGTTGACAACTGTCATGATTTATCAGTTTTGTGAACTTTGAGATCTGAGAGATGGTTTTATGTTTAAATTTTTTTTTTTATGGAAGGCTTTAGAGTTTGTGGTATGTTAATTATTGTTTATTGGGTTTATTTAAGTAGGATTTATTTTGAGTTTGTTTTAGAGGTTGAGGCCTCATAATTATCAATACCAAAATTCAAGTTCATAGGCATTGCTGTAATTTGATGCAATTCTAAAAATCCTATCATATATAAAAGTTTATAAATTATTATAAAAAAAATCAACTATTCCAAGAGTTGAATTTTGTTTTACGGATCTAAATTATTAAATAAGGTTTGTGTTTTTATATTTTTCAATTTTCTTCTTTCTTATTGTGAAATATTTTTTCTATACATGTTTCTTTGTTTTAATTATAAAAGTAATAGTCTAATAAAAAAGCTTATGAAAAATAGAAAGATATTATTAAATTAAAAAACAAATAATTAAAATAAATTATGGATTGAACAGCAAAGCATAACTTCAAAATGAAAAGTTCCAAGTTGAATTGTTTTAGATTTTATAGCTTTTTTAAATTCAATCTCACTTTATCAACTATTACTAATTCATTAAAATTTATAAATATTGTCATTACAAAAACTCTAATTTGAACTATTTATAGTTATTTTGTTTTTAATCAAATCATAAACCAATTATCTTTACTATACTTTTTCATCTGTTCTCTAAAAATCAAATACCATTACAAGCATTTACACGGTTTCACAATCTGAATTAATTCATACTTACACATGCATGGCTTAATCTTTGAGACAAGCATATGACTACTGGTAGGATCAACCAGGTAGCATTCCTTCGGGACGTTGGCACCGCGTGGGCCTCGACGCACTGATCGAGCGACGGAGAGAGCCCAATGCGAAACGCAAGCGTCGTGTGTGTCGAGCACGTGAAATGCATAGCATCGGACGAACGGGGGCCAGGAGCCCGCACCCGCTAAATGTTTCGCATCCGAGAGCACGATTGAACGTCGGTGCACCAATGCTGCCACGGAGGATTGGGTGGCGTGCTCAGGACACCGACCACGATTAACGTCCAACCCGTGGCCCCTCGAGACACGAGACGGATGTGGGATGACGAGACATCCGATTTTCATCGATCCAGGTATGCAGCACAGGATCCCGATTGCGCCTTCAGGATACGACAACCGTATAAAGAGAGATTGAAGAGGATGACAGATTGACAGTTCGATGCATTAAGCACGAAGCTTGCCAACACGCACAACCATAGCACCATTCATATGCCCATTGCGTATAAATGACAGCATCCACGCGCGTCGATCCACAACCCATCCGATCGATTACTTGACGAGCGAGCGAAAAAAACGACGTGCAAAATCACGTCATAACCGCTTGGCATGAAAAAAACACGATCAAAGACCACGAGACTACCCCTGATATCCGACAGGCAATAATGGCACGACACCACCAATGCTTGGCCCGACGGGACCGCACGCTTTTAATGTTGAAAAAAAAAAAGAAAAGAAAATGCACCTCCCAATGCTGGTATATATAAAGAATCATAGTCCCGACGCTAACTTGCAAAAGCTTTCACTTTCAACAGCGTCACGGCAAACGTCACATTTTCAATCTCAATCAATAAAATCGTTGCATAAAATCCTTCAATACTGTCCACAATTTCAGCATCCACAAACTCCATAGCTCAGAGCTTTAACATGGCTCAGCCCCAAATCCTCTTGGTAACATTTCCGACTCAAGGCAACATCAACCCTTCTCTTCAATTCGGCAAGAAACTAATAGGCAATGGCTTCCACGTCACTTTCATGACTGCCGTCTCTGCCTTCAACCGCATGAACAAAACCAATTCCCCTCCTAAGGGCTTGTCGTATGCCACTTTCTCCGATGGTTACGACCAAGGGTTTAACTTTGGTACCGACGATGTCAGCCATTATATGGTTGAGATCAAGCGTTGCGGTTCTCATACCTTGAGAGAGTTCATTGCTCGAAGTATCAATCAAGGTACACGGTTCGCTTGTATTGTTTATAGCACTCTTGTTCCTTGGGCGGCTGCGGTGGCTCGTGAGTTTAACATTCCGACCACCTTCCTTTGGAGTCAACCTGCTACTGTTTTGAGCATCTATTATCACTACTTCAAAGGCTATGAAGATGTCATTGAAAATGGTATCAACGAGGGATCGTCTGTGATGGAACTTCCGGGTTTGCCATTGCTTACTCGCCATGATTTGCCTTCCTTTCTCATTCCCTCGACTCCTTATGTTTTCACGCTCCTGGAGTTTAAAGAGCATATGGAGATTCTTGACCAAGAAGTGAACCCAAGAGTTTTGGTCAACACTGTTGATGCATTAGAAGCTGAAGTTATAGCAGCTATGAACAAGTATCAAGTAGTGGGGATCGGACCGTTAATGCCATCTGCTTTTGTGGATGAAAAAAACCCTTATGAAACCTCCTTTGGTGGAGACCTTTTCCAGGTTAAAATGGAGTATAAAGAAATGGAATGGCTTAACTCTAAGCCTGAAAGTTCAGTCATTTATGTATCGTTTGGAAGTCTTTATGTGTTGGCGAAACCACAAATGGAAGAAATAGCAAAAGGGTTGCGTGAAACTGGGCGTCCATTTTTGTGGGTGATAAGGGAGACTAGAGGAGAACAGAAAGAAGAGGATCATGAGGGATTGAGTTGTGAGAAAGAATTGGAAAAGCAAGGGATGACAGTGCCATGGTGTTCACAAGTAGAAGTTCTTTCCCATCCATCTGTTGGATGTTTCCTGACGCATTGCGGATGGAACTCAACGTTTGAAAGCTTGGTTTCAGGGGTTCCAATGGTGACATTTCCTCAATGGTCAGATCAACCAACCAATGCAAAGCTTGTCCAGGATGTGTGGAAGACAGGGGTGAGGATGAGAAAGAATGAAGAAGGAATAGTTGAAGGTTGCGAGATAAAGAGATGCTTGGAATTGGTGATGGGAGGTGGGGAGAGAGGAGAAGAAATGAGAAGGAATGCCAAGAAATGGAAACACTTGGCGAGAGAAGCTGCAAAGGAAAATGGATCATCTGATAAGAACCTGAAAGCTTTCATGGAAGAGCTTAACGGTTGCTAAACTTGGTATTGGTAGTGCTCAATGGTTAACAGATCTTTTCCTTTGTCATTATCTCTCTGGGGTTAGCATTTGCTTTTTTCCACCTATATTTTCGTTCCGGCAAGATGTACGTCACATTTGTCAATCACGATTTTTAAGGAATTTATATCTATCATTCTTATTTTATGGCATCGGCATGGCAAAATCACAAAGAAGCTTACCCTAATATATCCCACATTTAGGACAGGACTCGCACAAAATTGAAGTTCGAGTAAGGGTGAGTAATCGGTCATATCAATTTGAAAAAATTAATAATCAATTTAATCAATTTTTATTTTTCAAATAATTAAACCCATAAAAAATTTTTAAATAATCAACCATAACCGAATCAACTAAAGTTAGTTCGATTCGATCAATTCAATCAAATATTTTTAAAGAATACATAGAAGAGACAAAGTAAATAAAAATTTAAACAATCCAGCATCATCATTCCAAAACCCCAAAAGGCATCTTTCTAGTTGGTTTCATAATTATTAAGTTATTATATTTAGTCTTTCAATTAATCATATCCCTATGTTTCCAAAATCACAATCACCAAATTTAACTATAAAAAACCTTGGAAATTAGCTTTTTCTGTTAATTATAGACAAATAAAACAGAATCAAGTAAATCCAGGACCATTAGCAATGAAGAACAAGAAAAAGGATGGATTAAAAGAGTAGTAAAAGAGAGTTCACGGTGGTTGGAGGATGGGTCAAGGTGGCTGGGTCAGTACTCACGGTGGTGTCTTTCAGTGGTGCTACCCATGAGCCAACTGGGATTAGCAGGAAATCTTGTCCTCGGTCTTTTTGATCTTGTGCAAATCCATCGATGATTGAATCTTGATTTGGGGTCCTTTTTTTTTGGGGGGGGGGGGGGGGGGGGCATCTTGAGGGGATTGGTAGCAGATTAACAGCAGAAGAGAAGGAAAGGAACAAGACAAAGACAGGTGTAACTCAAAAGAATACAAGAAGAGGTAAAGCAAATTCCATTTAGGAAGCGTGGATCTTAAGGGATTAGGAGAAGACTTAGGTTTTTTTAGATGGGAAGTGGTATGTTCTTTAATTACTAAAATATACAACATCAATCCAGAAAGCCGATGATGCAGGAGAAACAACAGGACAATATAGTGGCTTTTTCAGTTGTTTTCCAGATTTTTTGGAGATTGAATAGTTTAAATTCAAGGGCATTAAACTTTCTCTTCTAAGCAGACTACTGTTATCTTAGTCTTGTTAGGAGCAGGTTATCTCAGGGTCTAGTATTGCTTGTAACTTTGGGACAGAAGAATTGTAATCCTTATAAACAAACTCGTTTATTTTAGAGAGAATGGATATTAGGCTTATTTCATATTTGAATTTGAAGCTCCATTCTCTTACATTAGGATATTCCTCTCAAACAAACCCAAACTGAAGCATAATACACAATGAAGTCCAGTCGCTCTACTCACAAAGACTTAAGGTTGTGGTTAGGTAATGTATTTGAAAAAGGGATTGTAATCTAAGCGAATTGTAAAGACCAAATTTCCAATTACCTTGTTTTGGAACTCAAAGAATGAACTTGGTAAATTCACATGCAACGCTAGCCTGTATTTTGCCAACCCACAATCCACCCTCTCTTAAATTGTCTAAATCCCCCATTCAAACACACCCTGGCCTTAGTTTTACACCTTGACTTGTTCTTATAATTAGTATTTGTTTATTGGTATTTGGTAAAAATTTTCCATGCATATACTCACACATTGTTAACAATTATTTTATCTATAATTTGGCCATGGTAACTTTCTAAGTTTTGTTTTGAAGTTATTCATGGTCAATCTTCCATGGTTAAAATTTCCAAAATTTTCGGAACGTATGATCTTAATTCAATCAAATTTGGAGTTTTTATTCCTTGATGAATTTCTCAACCACTATACCTATCAATTATGCTGCCTCTCCTAATTGTTTCTTATATTGAAAATTTAGTTTCTGAGATTTCTTATAAATCTAATGAATTTTCACCCTTTTCTAACACATTAGAACGAAGTAAAGAAACATTGAATTTAACAAACAAGTGATAAAAAACAAAAACCCAAAACTCACTGATTGTAAATCCGTTATATTCAATGATAGAATCACCGGGTCTAGCATTTGCTCTGTTCTCAAAATCCATTGTTTAAGACATGCCCGAACAGCAACCTTGCTTAACCCCAATTCTTAAGCACAAATCCTCGTCACGCTCTGCTCTCATCTTATTCAAGTGCTTCAATGCATTATCCGTCAACCGTATTAGCAAGCGCCAGCCCTTCCGCTGTTGGCGCCGCTGGAACGGCAGTCTGCCGAAATGGAAAGTGGTTTTTCTCACGGCTGAGACTGGATCGTGAAAACCGAAAAGAAATGAAATTATGGGGTGATAAAAATAATTGCTTTCGAAGTTGTTTGGGAGAAGCCGAAAGAAGAGATGGGTAGTTCGTTGAAATCGAAAGAAATAGCCATTGCTGTGAAGAGAACTCAATTGAGAAACAAAAAAACAAACAATTTCTTTCTTCGTTTTTGGTGGGTTTTTTTTAGTTGAAATTACTGCATTGGTACGCAATTAGGGGGAGATTTTTTTTTGAAAAAAAAAATGGTCATAAGTTGATTTGTTAGGCCAATTTGAAAATGGATTTAACGGTGGAAACAGATTTGTTTGTATTACTGATACATGTTTTTTTTTTTTTTTTATTTTATTTTGAGGTCTGAAATTTTTTGCCGGTTCTCATTTTGTTTGTTGATCTTATTAAGACGTAAATGAATTCTACATAAATAAATTTTATTGTGTTAATTATTTATTCGTTTAATTAATAAAATTTAAAATATTATTTATAATAATATTTATTAAATTTAATAAACTAATAAAAATCTAGTGAATAAAATTCGGTTGAAATGTGTGTTCACACGCGAACATTGTTCCTATTTTGCAAACAAAATACAATGTTAACAACAGAAATTTTTATTTGCTCTTGCAGTCATATTCTGTTGGTAGCTCAAAGACAATTGACTGCTTCCTTAAAAGCAGTAAAATATACTTACTCACCAACCCAACCATTACTGCTAATACACATGAGATCACCCTAAAACCTATCCCGAATCCCCAATCCCTAAAGAATAATCACCAAAAAAAATTTTAAAAGAATGAAAGAAACAGGAAAAGGTGAATAGCAACTATATGCAATCATTTGCAAACTTCAGCAAGCACAGCCTCCTCTCGGTTCAACTTCTGAACAAGTTTCTGAGATACCCCGGAAATAACTGCATAAACGAACCAGTTAGCCTCTGGGTGAAAAAAAAATAAAGAATTCGGTATTATAATTACGAGAAATTATGAGAAATAACAAAAATTCTTATCTTCCTACCCAGTTTTGTTCTATAAATATATATATATATATATATATTATAAGTCGTACTACCCAGTTTCATGTAATTATTTCTTGTATGTTGTAACTGTCCTAAACTTGAAACTTATCACAATATTTGTATGAATTGGTAAGTTAACACGTTGATCAAATAGTTGAGTACGTTCTGCCTTTAACCTTGCCATTTCATTCTTAAAATTCAAAGCTTTTTTAATAATTAAAATTTGATATAAAAGTTGTTATCTGCTTTTAAGAAGTTTAAGTTTGGAGGTTCGAAACTTTACCTTTTTTTTTTTTTATATTGTATCATATTTCAAAATAAATAATTATGATATTAAAAAAAGTTGAATTCAATCATATTTATATCATTTTTAAATTTTTTTAATGAGATTTTTTATTTCATTCTTAAAATTAAAAAAATTCTTGAGTTAAATCTCATTATAATTAACAAAAAGAAATTCCATTCTCTTGGTATTGGCGTCTCGAGATGGGGTCAGAAATGGTATTTTAGGGCAGCAACTAAAACCGAATTGAGAAATTCGCAGAGTAAAGTTTGCCAATTATTGAGAGTATTGGCATTTTTCGATTAAACCAGGCGTAACCTATTATATCAAGATATTGACTTTTGTAGTTTTGTTAATTTATTCTTCTTAACATGATTATAAACGAGAGGGATCAATTTATATAAAATAAATAAATAAATAAATTTGTTAAATTTTTAATTTTAATAAATTCAAAAAATGAGATTATTTTTTTATTCTTTAAATTTATTAAAATTAATGATTAAAAAGTATAAAATTTTTTAATTTTATATTAATGTAAATTGATTCCTTCTCACAAATAAAATATATTTTGGCTATTGCATGATTCGTCTAAAGGTCTTAAAGCATATTATCTACAATAATTATAATACAATTAATCAAATATAATCTAAAATTATGTAGGGATCATCAAAATTTTATATAAAATTCATACTTATAAATAGTATATTCTTACATAATTTTTTATTATGATTGAAAAAAATTATAAATAAAATGCTCCTCTTCTAAATCATTGAATCTATCAGTAAATCTCTAGCTTTTGATTTGACCAAAATCGTTGAAGCATCAATTTAAATTACTAAGAATTTGATAAGAAAATTGAGGAGAGACCCACTTTTTCCCCAAATTTTAAACATTGAATCTAAACTTTTTATTTTCGATTTTGCTTTACAGTAATTCTATTCTATCCCATAACTTCTTCTTCTTTTTTTTTTTTTTTTGTGGGGCTTTATCTATATCAGCAAAATGTCACGAACTGTTTTTTAACTTAAAATTAATTTTTTATTTAATCGATTCATATAATTATTTTAAAAAATAATGTTTAATAAATTTATGATTTAAATTCAAATATTCACAATTATTGCACTTATTTTCAAACTTCAAGCCACGATCTCTTTGTTGAAAAAAAAAATAATAATAATAATAATAATTTTCTTGTCTTTTCCTGTGACTTCAACTACAAATTTGGTGAACTTCATTTTCAAGTGCCATGCTGACAACTTTAAAACAAAGGGAACCTAAAAACAACCGAATCTCCGTGATCCATGATGGCTACATAAAACTGATGGATTTGCAACATTTGTTTATCTTTAACATGACAATTTTAATAAAAGGATTTCTTGGTTTTTGTTGGGGTTACCTTTGCTTTAGTGATGGCAAATCATTTTCACAGTATCCAAACCCAACAAATAAGATGACATCTCACTAGATTTGCATTATCATTATAACTTTTTTTTAACTATCATTATTTTTCAATATGAATTGTTGGTAATTAATAAAATATTAACCAAATATGTGTTTTGAGTTGGGC